GAAATAGAAAGGACATAAGTAAGAGCCTTTTGTTTTATTAAAGATCGCTGTCTCTGAGATAAGCATCTTCACAAGACCAGATTCCTGGCTCTCCACAGATTTTGTCATGTGTCTTAACCACAGTTGGTTGTCTCTTGTTGACTCCCTGTCTGAAGGACTTCTTTAAGCATTTCTTGTAAGGTTAGTATGCTTTTTACACATTCTCTTATTTTCTGTTTATCTGGGAATGTCCTAATTTTGCCATTGGATTTGAGGGACAATTTTGCTGGGTTGGCAATTTTTTTCTTTCAGGTTTTTAAATATATGTTATCCCATCACCTTTTCACCTGCATGGTTTCTGCTGAGAAATCATAGTTCATTCTTATTGGTTCTACTTTGCAGGTAACTTCTCATTTTTCCCAAGCTGCTTTCAGGATTTTGTCTTTGTCCTTGGTTTTGGAAAGTTTGAGTATGATATATCTGGGTTATTTTCTTTTGGGGTCTATTTGATTTGGTGTTCATTGAGCTTCTTTAATGCTGTTTTGGTTTCCTAGTGCCACTCTGAGAATAAATATACCACAAATGGGATGGTTTGAACAAACAGGAGTTTATTCTTACAATTTAGAGGCTTTAAGTCCAAGTTCAAAGTGCCAGGTTCTAGGGGCTGGGTGAAAGCCCCTCAACCTTGGGCTTTAGCTCTGCCTCTTGCTCCTCGTCCACTGAAGCTAGGGACATTTCTTCACTCAGGCAGCTACTGGCTGCTGAGGCTAACAAGCACAAGGTTGGCAAATAAAATGGCACCGTCCCAATGTTACCAAACCACATAACAGGCCATTAATTCAAATCCATTGTAAATCCCAAAGTTGGCTGAACAACGACATGGCTACATGCAGGGTCCAAGTGTGCCATAAGTTAGAGACCGTTCCCAAAGCTGCTTTTATATACGGGAAGCAGACCACATACCCAAAGCAGCCACTTAGCTGCTTGTGGTAGATCCTACCATGGAGTTGATTGCCAGTTTCATCATGGGGAATAACTATTACCAGCTGCCCAGCCACTCAACCAGGCCCAGCCAAGTTGATGCACAAACTGAACCACCACAAATGCATATCTTCTTGTCTTTCATGCTGTTAGAGAAATTTTCATCTAACAAATGTTCAACAATTTTCTCTGCGTTTTGTTGGGGTTTTTTGGACTCTTCCTGTTTTGGAATTCCAGTGACATATAAGTTATTCTTCTTGATAGTGTCCCACATAATTCTTAGGCTTTCTTCATTTTTTTTTTTCTTTTCCTGATTGTTCCTCTAACAGATTAGTGTTAAGAGATTTGTCTACAGTTTCACTAATTCTATTTTACTACTCCCATGAGTCCATTGTAGTTCTTTGCCATTGTAGTATGTTAGCTTTTTCTAAAATTTTAGTATTAACCTTCTGAATTTCCATTTGCTGTTTTTGTATGGTATCTCATTTTCCATTTATTTTTGGCATTTGTTCTTATGTTGTTATGTGCCGTCAAGTCAGACCCGACTCATAACTACCCCCTACTTGGGTTTCCAAGGCAGTATCACTACGGAAGTAGATTGCCCCATCATCCTTCCAAGGAGTGGCTGGTGGGTTTGAACCGCCAGCCTTCTGGTTAGCAGTCAAGTGCCTTAGGCACTATTACAGTTTTTCGTTTTTTAAATTCTAGATTTTTGTCCATGTTTTCCTTGATTTTTGCCTGTTACTTCCCTGGTAATATCTTTGTTTTCCTTAATCAACTGAAGGGTTCTAGTATACAACTCTCTGGAATTTCTTGTCAGCTACTTCCAATAGCATTTCTTTCTCTGGAAGATTTTCTGGCCCTGTATTTTGATCACTTAGTTTAGCCATCTTATCTTGTTTGTGTGTGTGTGTTACTTGAAGTTGACTATTGTCGTTAAGACAGTTTGGTGTTATTGTATTAATTTGTTGATGGTTTGTTTGCTTCACCGTGATGTTTCCGTTTGGTTTGTTTTAATATATCCAGGCAGTAGGAGCAGGTGTGTTACTCTAACTGCTAGTTTGGCAGCACTGGGGTGCTCAGCCCCTGTTGTGGGTGGATTTGGTAGCAAGGGGCAGTGTGGACATGAGCCTAATTGCTGGTTGTGTACAGTAGCGGAGGGAAGGCTGCTATCTGTTGTTGATGCAGTGGTGCTGCAGCAGTGGTGACACTCACCTGGTGGGTGTGGTGGGCATGACTGGTTGTGTTCGCTGGCTCCCAACTTATGGGAAAAAAAAGGAGTGGGGAAGGAGTGAAAAATAAGGAAGAGGAAGTGGGAAGAACTAAGATGAAAGAAGAAAAGAAAAGAGCGAAAAGGAAAATGGCACAGTGGTGGTGCAGTCCTAGCCACCAAGCCCAGCTTCATCGGGAACGAGGCTCTCAGTGTGTGGGAGTGCACACCTCTGACGGCAGAAGTGGAGGTGGCGATCACACACCACTTCCTGTGGAAGGGTCAGAAGTGGCCCTGACAACCTTGGAGGCACTTGGGGGTGCCTGCTTTGTACGCCCCCCCCCAAAAAAAAAGAGGTGGGGAAGAGGAAGGAAAAAAAAGGTAAAACCAAAAGCAGGGAGAGGGAAGAATTAAAAAGAAAGAAAAAGAATAAAGAGAAAAGAAAAATAAAAAACAGTAAGGCCTGTTCTAAACACAGCTGCCACAGAAACATGGCACTCCCTCTGTAGGCTTGCACACCAGCCACTGCAGAGGTGTGGGGCCAGAGGCTGCTGACAGAGGAGGTGGTGGGCATGGCTCTCATTTTGCAGGATAAAAGAAGTAGTGGGCGGAAGATGGAGGCAAAAAAGGGGGGGGGTAGAGAGAAGTAAGAAGAATGAAAAAACAAAAAGAAATGTGGCACACTGCTGGCTGTGGGTCTGAGTCTGACCACCTGCTGGGGTGGGTAGGGACAGGGGGACCTTGCCTCTGGCCACTGGGAGGTTGTGCAGTGAAGGAGAGATGATCGCACGATGTGGGTCCCAGTGCAGTCCTGGGTGAGTGGACCTGCTTATCTGGTTCCTGCCCTGATCACAATGCTGGTTGCAGTTATTGGCAATGGCTGCCGTGTGCCCAGCAGTTGGCAATTCTCAGCTCCATGTGTCTCCTTGTTTGCTATTTTCGTCAATTTTTTCCTCTAATGGGTATTTGATCAGCTGCTTTGTCCTTCTTTTTGATGCTCTGGGTTCCAGGATTGTCATGCATACCCCTTTTCACTTGGTGTCTCAGGTCTTTGTTGTACAGGGTCTGGGTAGTAAATCCGCCCAGTCCGTCATCTTGGACTTCTTTCACGAGACGTCCTATAATTTGATTTTTAAATAATAACCACACAATTCAGTTATTATTTTTTCCTTTTTTGAAAACTGAGTTACTTTTATGTGATGAGAATAACAATGGATGTTTATGTCTCTACTTATGCAATTTTATAGATGGCGTTTTAACACTGAACACGGAGAACACTAATTATGCCTACCAAGTTCCAAACTTCCATAAATGTGAAATCTGTCTGCTGTCTTTCCCAAAAGAGTCCCAGTTTCAGCGCCACATGAGAGATCACGAGCGGAATGACAAGGTACGTGTTTTCAAGAGGGACGTTAGAAGAGAAGCGTGCAACAACATGACAAACCACATGTCAAATGAAAGCCTTTCTAATAGCTGAACTCCTTACGTGGAGAAGGCTTTACAGCCTATGAACAAGTAAATACTTAGACTTCTTTGAAGTCTTAGTTAGGTTCCCAGCTATCATTAGATAATGAGAAAGCCGCCAAGCTTGGCATCATGTGTCGGGGTGTTGAGGTCATTAAGAATGGGCCAAGGGATATTTTACAAAGTGATTTTATCAGTAGCCTCTGTCTCCTGTAGGACTGAACATGAGAGTTGATGTTGGCTTCAAGTGTTCTCCTGCACTGGGGAGTTTTACCCTCAGTGGTCTTGCATTTTGAAAGGGTGTGTGGATGTTTTAGGTTGTACTTCTTCCGGGGGAGCAACACCATCTTATATAGACTTGAACCTACTCTTGTGCTGCCCTCTGTGGGACATGCTAGGAATTTTAGTGTCTTAAATGGAATGACTTACCTGACCGATAAAGGTGGCAGTCAAAACTACACTTACAGAGTGACCGCTGCCTCTTCCCTAGGAGAAGGTAGGCGGTAGGCCAAGGGGCCTTCTGGGACCAGAAGATCCAGGGACCTCCTTGCTGGCAAGCAGGACCTGCCCAATTCAGGCTTGTTTTCAGCATCAGTTGTCATGTTGGACTTGTCACCATGGAGTACTGACTTCACCAGTCACCAGTATGTCCTCCCGTGTTGACAGTCTGGAAATACTGACATATTCCTCATTAGGGTGTTGATTGTGCTTCAGGGAGAAATAGCAGGGATTACTTTATCTTTCTATAAGTAAGTGGCAGGATATTTTCCATTTTGGAAGATCTTCAACAGAGACATGCAGGGTTGAGAAATGTAGTGAACATTTCATGCATGATCCCTCAAGTTTGGTTAGAAATAGAAGCTGAGGAGCTGATGTTCTTCATGTGTTTCCATGACGACAGCCTGGCACATTTGTATACGACGTTTCTCATTAGGGAAGTTTTCTCCCCATGGGTGTTGCCCTCTGGGAAGGACACTTTGGAAGGGTGTATTGTTTTCCGATCTAGAGGAGACTTCAGAGAGATTGTTTGTATGTTGTGGTACTTGTCCCTGTTTCAGTAACAGTACTGAGGAAAGGGCCTGTGGGGAGATGGCGTTTCACTGGCCTCTTCACTATTCTCTCCATGTAGCCACACCGATGTGACCAGTGCCCGCAGACATTTAACGTGGAATTCAACCTGACTCTCCATAAATGCACCCACAACGGGGAAGACCCCACCTGTCCTGTGTGTCATAAGAAGTTCTCCAGGGCGGCGAGCCTCAAAGCCCATATCATGCTGCACGAGAAGGAGGAGGTAACCGCTTCCCCAGCTGCTCTGGGAACTGATGTTTCCCCTGCACCTGACTCTTGCTCAGGGCGAGGTTTGCCATGAGCTAGTTCACAAAGCCTTCCCTAGAGGTTTCAAGGAATTAATTCATTTTCATGACATCTGCCTTGACTGCTCTTCGGTTTGTGGTGAAGCTCTGTTGTCCGCTGTCCCAGTACCGTAGGGTAGACAGACCTTAGCACGTGGTGTCTGTGGAGGAGCAAACACACCCACGCTGGCTGGCAGAGCCCTCACCCCCACAGGTTTTTTGCCTCAGAAGATCACAGTATCTTCTCATGTGGCTTCTGGATCCTCCAACTCTCCTGACATGTGGGCAGGTGGGAGAGGGAAGACATTTCTGGAGGGCCCAGAACAGTCGATGCCCCAGTGAGGATGATGTGCTAGGGCTCGCAGGCCTGGAGCCTCAGGGCAGCTTTGGGGGACAGCACTGTAGCGGACGTGACGAGAAGTTAGACAAGAGCCTGTTCCTCAGGAACCCCTGGGTGGCACGGATGGGGAGTTCTTGGCTGCTGATGTCTGGCTGTTGGTGCGAGCTCACCCTGAGGCTCCTCAGAAGACAGGCCTGGGACCTGCTTTCAAAAGATCAGTCGTTGGAAGCTGGGTGTGCAGTTCTACCCTGACCACGTGGGGTCCCCGTGTGTCGGAGTCAGTGCAGCAGCACCAGGTGCTGGATGTAAAGACCGACTTCTCCCCAACCCCCAGTCATTATTGCAGGAAAATACAAAATGAAAAGCAGAGAACAGGAGTCACCTGCAGGTCTCCTAGAGGGAGGTGATCAGGGCTTCATGTGTTGCTTCCTGAGACAAGCAGCAGATACGGTGTTTGAAGTGCACACATAAAGCGTGGGTCCTAAACACCGTTCATCCTTCACAAACAGGCTGGCTCATCTTTTCAGATACGCCTTTTGTTTTCACTGTAAAATAATTTCTTTTCTCTCTTCAGTCTTGTTACCTGAGTAATAAATGCCTGTGGTGGTTAAGTTTGTGTGTCAGCTTGGCTAGGCCTGGTTGAGTGGCTGGGCAGCTGAGTAGTATTCCCAGTGGTGAGATTAGTAATTAACTCCATGATGGAATCTATTGGAGCAGCTGAGTAGCTGCTTTGGGTACGTGGTTTGCTTCTTCTATATAAGCAGCAGCTGTGGGAATGGTCCCTAGCTTGTGGCACGCTTGAACCCAACATGGAGCTGTCTCTTTGTTCAGCAGCCTGCCATGCTCTGCCAACCTTGGGACTTACAATGGACTTGAGTGAATGGCCTGCCATGTCATTTGGTAACATCAGGACTGTGCCTTTTTACTTGTCAACTTTGGGCTTGTCAATGTCAGCAGCCAGCAGCTGTCTGAGTGAAGAGGTACCTCTAGGTAAAGTGGGCCGGGAGCAGGAGGCAGAGCTGAAGCCCAAATTTGAGGGACTTTATCCAGCCCCTAGGGCCTGGCACTTTGAACTCAGACTTCTAGCCTCCTGAACTGTAAGAGAATAAACTCCTGTTGGTTACAGCCGTCCCGTCTGTGGTATGTTCCTGTCAGAGCAGCACTAGGGAACCAAAACAATGCTCATCTTGGAATGTGTTAGAGCGCGCCCGGCAGAGTGACATGTGACACGCACAGCACCCTGGGCACGGCCAGGAGAGGTGGCCCAGCGGCCCGGCAGACTTCTCTCTCAGCTGTACGTGCTTTCCGTAGTGGTCCGTGTATTTAAAAGCAGTGACTTAGGAGAAACAAACAAAAGCCTGTACTTACTGGACTGGTTAAGACGGTGGCCCTGGGATACTCTTCAAGCCCTGGCCTGAAGCTGCCCTGAGTCACCAGCAGCGAAACAGCAGACATTCTGCAGAGTTATGACTGTCACCCTAGGTGCTGTGCACCTTTAAAACATCACCTCTGTGACACCAAACTCAACAGTGACTGTAAAACAAAGAGGAGACCATAGGGACAGGGCAGCTAGATGACTGGAGCTAGGACAACCAGAAGGGACATGCTGAGGGTGTGCCCACGTTGTGAAGGATGTGCCCAATGTCACAAAACAGCCATGGGATGGGAACTGAAAATGCTGAGTCAGCTGCCACCAAAAACACAGTAAAAATGCAATGTTTTTAAAGAAAACAGTTATTTTTTAAAAAGGTATAACTTGGACTGTGCTGGAGTGCAGCCCGCTTCATGCTCTGCTCGTCCTCGTCTCTGCCAGTCCGTGTCTCTGCCAGCCCTTGTCTCTGCCAGTCTGTCTCTGCCAACCCATGTCTATGCCAGTCCGTGTCTCTGCCTGTCCGTGTCTCTGCCAGTCTGTGTCTCTCCCTGTCCGTGTCTCTGCCTGTCCATGTCTCTGCCTGTCCGTGTCTCTGCCTGTCCGTGTCTCTGCCAGTCCTTGTCTCTGCCAGCCCGTGTCTCTGCCAACCCATGTCTCTGCCAGTCCGTGTGTCCGTCCTTGTCTCTGCCTGTCCGTGTCTCTGCCTATCCATGTGTCTGCCAGTCCGTGTCTCTGCCTGTCTGTGTCTCTGCCTGTTCTTGTCTCTGCCAGTCCGTGTCTGTGCCTGTCCTTGTCTCTGCCTGTCTGTGTCTCTGCCTGTCCATGTGTCTGCCAGTCCGTGTCTCTGCCTGTCCATGTCCCTGCTTGTCCATATCTCTTCCAGTCTGTGTCTTCGCCTGTGTCTCTGCCAATCCGTGTCTCTGCCAGTTCACGTGTCTGCCAGTCCTTGTCTCTGCCTGTCTGTGTCTCTGCCAGTCCGTGTCTCTGCCTGTCCTTGTCTCTGCCTGTCTGTGTCTCTGCCAGTCCTTGTCTCTGACTGTCCGTGTGTCTGCCTGTCCGTGTCTCTGCCAGTCCGTGTCTCTGCCTGTCCATGTCCCTGCTTGTCCATATCTCTTCCAGTCTGTGTCTTCGCCCGTGTCTCTGCCGGTCGGTGTCTCTGCCGCTCGGTGTCTCTGCCTGTCCGTGTCTCTGCCAGTCCGTGTCTTTGCATGTCCTTGTCTCTGCCAGCCCGTGTCTCTGCCGGTCCGTGTCTCTGCCTGTCTGTGTCTCTTCCAGTCCCTGTCCCTGCTTGTCCATATCTCTTCCAGACTGTGGCTTTGCCCGTGTCTCTGCCAGTCCGTGTCTCTGCCAGTCCGTGTCTCTGCCTGCTTGTCTGTATTCTGTCTCCTCTCGTGTTGGTGTTTGAATGACTTTAAGAAGCTCTCCCTGTGTGGACAGAGCGGATCGTCTCATTGGCTCCATTGTAACACTTATGTGTCTGTATTTTATCAATACTGTACATGTATCTTTGTTATTATGTTTTAGGATCAATTCCTACATGAGAATGACTTCTTGTCGTATTCTGGGTGGAATGTCGTACTGCTCGTAGAAAGCGTGTGCTGATTTATGCCTTCTGTGGAGCACAGAGTGCCCGGCCGCTGTGGCTACAACGGTAGTCAGAAGTAGTCCTTATTAGTAAAACATACAGAAAGTTCTGGTATTAACCATGGGCTGTTGAACTGTTGAGGAGTAGCAGATGGGCAGTAGGGAGTCAGACCACACAGAGGGTGTGTGTGTGGGGGCATACCTCCTTGGACCTGCCGACTCTATCTCCTCCCTAGAAGGAGCCCTCTCGGCAGTTCCTTCTGTATTCTTCTGGAAAGTTCTGTGCCTGTGCAAATCCCCTTTGTACCCTGTGCCCCGCTCCCCATGATTCTGTGCCTTTTTTCTTGGATTAACGGTGTGTCTCAGGATTACACATCTGCCTTGTTCTGCGGAATAGCTGTGTAGGATCAGGAAGTATGGAGGTGTCAGTGTGAGAGGGCACTTGTGTTGGACATGTAGGTTCTTTCCAGCCCGTTGTGTGTTCAGAGCTACAGCGAGCAGATATTCCTCTTTCTGTCTGGGTACCTTGGCTACTGTAATGGGTCTCTAGGTGCAGACACTCTTGCTTGTCCTGGCTGTGGTGGAGGAGGGGGTGCTCCTGGCACCTGTGGTGGGCACGCCACTAACATCCTGCAGTGACAGAACACCCTCAGATGTCAGCAGTGGTGAGGTTGGGAAACTGAGCTAATATCAGTTCATTTAAATTCCCAGAAATGAAACTGCTGGCCCAAAGAAGTGTGAATCTGGGTAACAATAACGCAACTCCCTGCCATGGAGTCGGATCCGATTCATGGCGACCCTTCCTTGGGTTTCTGAGGTGGTATCTCTACAGAAATAGATTGCCCAGTCTTCCTTCTGAGGAGTGGCTGGTGGGTTTGAACCACCAGCCTTCTGGTTAGCAGTCAAATGCCTTTGGCACTATGCCACCAGAGCTCCTGTGAATCTGGGTAGATACTATCAAATTGTTCTCCAAAGAGATTTTACTGGTTGATAATCTAGACTGGAATGGACAAAGATGACCATTTTTTCATACCATTTTAAACACTGTATGGTAATGGCTAAAACATTCAGTAGCTCACCAGAAGGGTGGTGGTTCAAACCCACAAGCTGCTAATCTGGAAAGCACCTGGCTTTGGGAAACACAAAGGCTTTATGGTCATGGGCCTGCTGTGCCTTCTGCTGCGAACTTGAGGACTAGCTGATAAACGTAGTAGTGGGGTGAGTTCCGGGGCTCCCATCCAGTATCCTCAGAGCCTTAGAGAAAGAAGTCAGATTGCCTCCGGGGTTACATCCTGCAATCCTTGGTAGAGCTCCACTGAGCACAGGGCCTCTTGTTGTGACGTGGACCTCGGTACGGAGCCTCCAGGATGGCGTAACACTTCATGATGGCCACTGCCGGCAGGTGGGTGTCGAGCCAGAGCAGTCAATCTGAAAAACGACTGTCGTTGACAAATCCCTCAGGACTGTTTCCTGACATGTGAGGTGATTCTGAAGTGTATGTTGTGTACCAAGGGGATCACCTTCTTTAAAGGGTGTGGCAGGATGTTTGGAGAAGCAGCCTGTGCGCACACATGTGCACACTCATGCACCCTTGCTCACGATGCCCACACACTCACACACAGTTTCTGAGCCGCCATCTCGCAGGCCTGCAGATGCTCAGTGCAGCAGGCGGGGCCCTTCAGGGCGGGGACCAGGCAGCTCTGGTGGCTGGATTCTGGGCCACCGTGTGCAGGGGTGCCAGTTCAAGGCCAGCAGAGGTGGCTAGTTTGGGAAACAAGGAATGGTTCTTGAAAAGGCCTGGGGACTGGAGCAAGGACAGGGTCCCCACTGCGGTGCGAGGGAACCCCAGGATAGGAGAGCCCTAGGTCACTGAGAGCCACTTGTGAGTCAGTGTGACCAAGGGTTAGCAGAAACACCGTTCTGGTGGAAAGACCAGTCTAGTGGCACTTGGGGGTGGAGGGGAGAGAAAGCGTTCTTAGGGAGAGGAAGCTAAGGCATCCAGTGCTTATCTCCTTGTGCTATCTTGGCTTGGTGAAGACGATTCCATCTTCAGTGAGTGGAGGTTGACTATAATACCATTTAATATATGCAAGATAGCATTAATTCAAGGGTTTGTGGTGGCAGGATGCCTAAGGTATTTGACTGCTAACTAGAAGGCTGGCGGTTCAAACCCACCAGCCGCTCTGCAGAGGTATGATGGGGCATTCTACTTCTGTAAAGATTTACTGCCTCAGAATCCTGACAGGGTTCGTTCTGAGTTGGAATTGACTCAACGGCAGTGAGTTTGGTTTTTGGTTTTATCATCAATTCAAATGCGAAAAATACTGAGATAGGTTTTTTTTTTTTTCTTTTTGTAGCAGATGAGGTAAATTGTAATATATTTATTATGACAATACTGTCATTTCAAATGTAAAAAATATTGAGATTATATTTTTTTTTAATAGCAGGTGAAATAAATGTTATCAATACAGTTAATATAACATATCAAAGATATCACCATTTCAGTGTACAAGTATCCAGACAGGTGCCATTCCTTTGTTGCATTCGTTCTCTGAAGGCTGTGTCTCTACCACTCCTCAACGTGACAGTTCAGAGCAGCCACGTTTCACACACAGTGGCCACATGAGCCTAGAAGCTGGCCTTGATGTCACCCACTTCTCTGTGGTCTACTCCCTTCTCCCTGTGGTCCACCCACTTCTCTGTGGTCCCTCCACTTGTGTGTGGTCCCTCCACTTGTGTGTGGTCCACCCACTTCTCTGTGGTCCCTCTACTTCTCTGTGGTCCCTCCACTTGTCTGGGGTCCCTCCACTTGTCTGTGGTCCACCCACTTCTCTGTGGCCTACTCCCTTCTCTGTGGTCTCCTCCCTTCTCTGTGGTCCACCCACTTCTCTGTGGTCCCTCCACTTCTCTGTGGCCCCTCTACTTCTCTGTGGCCCACCCACTTCTCTGTGGTCTCCTCCCTTCTCTGTGGTCCCTCCACTTCTCTGTGGCCGACCCCGTTCTCTCTGGTTCCCCCACTTCTCTGTTGGCTTCTCTGCTTTTAAACCAAATTGAGACAGACATGAGCTCTTTCTGTCCGCAAACTGACCAGCTGTCGCTGTGTTTAAGGCAGCATATTCAACTGTAGTATCTGAATTCTCTCCTGACCCTTTTGCAGTGGTGAAGTCCTTGGAATTTGCTCAGGTTCTCACTGAGCAGATAGACAGATGGCATGTTACCCAGCAGCTGAGTGGAGGCCACCTTCACTCTGCTCCAGCTTGCCCCGTCCTGCTGTCGTCTTTCTGGTGTGTGTTCTTGCGTCTCCATAGAAGGAGCATGGGTTCTGTGCCGGGTCAGGACACAGCGCAGTGTGCCCTGGGCCTTGGGGTGGGGGGGTTGGCCTAGGTCTGCAGTGGGCGGCTCAGAGAGTGGCTCTGGGGTGTTTCTATGCTCATCATGATGTGTTTCCCCCAGAACCTCATCTGCTCCGAGTGTGGGGACGAGTTCACACTGCAGAGCCAGCTGGCCATCCACATGGAGGAGCACCGGCAGGAGCTGGCTGGCCGCCGGGCACACACCTGTAAGGCCTGCGAGAAGGAGTTTGAGACGGCCGCCCAGCTCAAGGAGCACGTGAAAACGCATTACAAAATCAGGTATGCCCCCCATTTGGACTTGGTCCCGGCATCCACGTGGCCAGCTGCAGGTGGGTCTGCTTTGCTGCCACCGGTTGGAAATCTCTGCTGCTTCAGCCACGAAACCAAGCACAGCCACCAGAAAGAGTGACTTCGTGACAGTGACCACATAGTACTAACACCTGCAGATGTGTGGGGCTCTGCTGGCACAGTGGCTAACCACCCAACTGCTAACTGAAAGGGAGTTCCAGCTACCAGCCACTCCACAGGCGAAAGAGGAGGCTGTTGGCTTCAGGAAAGATTGACAGCTTTGGGAACCTTATGGGGCAGGTACCCTCTGTCCTGTAGGGGTGCTGTGAGTTGGAATCGACTCCATGGCAGTGGGTTTGGTTTGGGCTTCATTCCTCAGAAGGAAGGTTGGGCAACCTACTTCTGTAGTGACACCACCTCAGAAACCCAAGGAGGGGTTGCTATGAGTTGGATCTAACTCAATGGTAGTGTATTTTTTTTTTTTTTTTGCTTCTGTGAGGATTGCCAGCCCTGGAAACCCTATGCACAGTTCCACTCTGTCCTCGAGGGGTGATGTGAGCCTGAAGGCTATGTGTGTGTGTGTATCTCTCACTGTGTAATCGACACCTCATGACATCAGCATGTTCTGGTGGGCAGTCAGCTGACCTTCCTGGTGGGTTGTAATTTGCTGGTGTGTTCTAAGGGAGGCTGTTTAATGAGCGTTCCTTGTGCTGTGCTAGGGTCTCAGGTACCAGGTCTTACAACCGGAACATCGACAGAAGTGGATTCACGTACTCATGTCCTCACTGCGGGAAGACCTTTCAGAAGCCGAGCCAGCTGACGCGACATGTCAGGATACACACAGGTATGGAGGGCAGGTGCTGTTGGCTGGCGGACCGTCCAGCTTGGAGGAGAAGGGATGTGTCTCACAGCCCACAGTTGGGCTTCTAGGCTTGCCTTTCCCCGGGTTTCTGTGTAATCACCTTGAACTTGCTTACTCTTGTGAGTTCTTTCCCTCACTTGAACATGGAATGTTCATGCCTGTCATGACTCATGACTGAAAGAACACGTGTAGCCCTCACAGACAAGGATCTCAGTAACAGGTGTTGGGGTGTTGTTGCTGTCACTGTTGTTGGAGTGCCTGTTCACCCATCTCACTCAGAAGTGAGTCGGGCTAATGTCAGATGTCAGGTGTAAATGAACAAAGCGGCCAAGATCTCGGTAGTCTGCTCTGATTCTGCCTTCACTGACAGGCTATCAAACAAAAACCTTGTTTCTCGGAGCTTTTGCTGGCACCCTGGTTGGTTTTGCTTGAATATTTGACGTTAAGTACAGCCGTCACTAAAGACACTTCCTCAGCTCTTAAGAAAGTCAGTTCATCACCTGATCAGTAACACATGCACACAGTCCTTTGAGGGAGGCTAGGGTCCCCTCTTTGCTGTTATTATGGCATTTGAAATGAGAGTGACCCACCCTTGCCCGCTGGCTTTCTGACGCAGCCTTCTGATCTGCCCTTTGTGATGTGTTTGGTCGGCTGCTTCTGTTTCAGCCACTTGTCATGGGGCCGCACTGCTCTTTCCCCTTTTCAGTGTTACTGTGAGCATCTCTGTGTGCAGGCTGACCTCGGAGAGCCCGTGGGCTTGGCCTCAGACCTCCGCGGTAAAGAGAGTATCGCAAAAGGCGAGTCACGTGCACTTTTAGGTTTTCCAGTGCTTCTCAAAGTTAGGTGGAGACTGGACTGCAGCCTGTTAAGCATGCGCTACCATGATGGAAGAGTCTAAAACATGGTGGGAACGACCCAAACGGGATAGAGACGCAGAGTGAGCACGTGCTGGTGGAAAACGGCACCAGCAGACTTGGCTCGAGGCAGCGTTAGCCACAGCCCTCAGTTGGTGCCTGCACAGTAGTGCAGTCATCCAGATGACTGTGCGGCTTGTCTGGTGCTGGTGTGGAGTTGATTGGCGTGTCTGCCCTGCTGCCCAGGACTGGGGGCTTGCTTCTCCTGGAGTGATGACCCCGGTCCTTGAGAGGGAGCTGGGTGGGGGTGGTATTCTCAGCTGGCTTCTGCTGGCGTGGAGCCCTGCCCTGTGAACAGGTGGCTGCTGGGGAGGGCCCTCAAGCCTCATAGGGGCCTCTGGGTCCCATCCTGAAAATCACTTTTACTCAGACACACACACATGATTTGGTTTTGTCTTCTTTTTGGTAAAAGTTTTTATCAGAACAAACGTGGATACGTGAACAGGAAACACATGTCTTTAGGTTTTCTTCCCGTGTGTGTTTTAAGCCTCATCAGCACAAATGCAGAAATTTGCATTGACCGGCGTGGAGACTTAAGCTCTATTTGCAGCTCTTCTGCCTGCCATGTTAACGAGAACTGACTTACATTCTGTGGAGGACAGTTATGGTATTTGGGTGATGGAGGGCTTCTCTTTAGGACCTACAGGGTGCTCCTCCAGCTGCCCGTAACATGTGGACTCCTTTTCTCCCTGTCTAGGTGAAAGGCCATTTAAATGCAGCGAGTGTGGAAAAGCTTTTAACCAGAAGGGGGCGCTGCAGACGCACATGATCAAGCACACAGGTGAAAAGCCCCACGCCTGTGCCTTTTGTCCTGCCGCCTTTTCTCAGAAAGGAAACCTCCAGTCCCATGTACAGAGAGTTCACTCGGAGGTAAACAGTCTTTGTGGCTCATGGGGTCCGCAGGCGTGCCTAGACCTCTCTGAGTTCACAAGTGAGCCGGAGACGAGCTTTCCTGTTCTGTAAAATGCAGATGAAGCGTGTGTGTCGGACAAGCCCTGTTGAACGTGTGTGTGTGTGTGCACACATACTCACAGAGGGTTACTGACACTCGTAGTTCTGACGAACAGATATTTGCCAATGACAATACCATGCTTAGTCACAACTCATCAGTCTGAACACTGAGCATTTCATCCCTTGAGTGCAGCTGAAGTGTAGGCACCCACAAGTGCAAGAGTTGAAAGGTGAGACGTGGATCCAAGTGACAGATGGTTTGCCTGCTGCCTGTGGTTGCCAAGCCCACAGGGGACCGTCATCTTGTGTGTGCGGCCGAGGTCCTGCTTGGTTGGTTTCCACTGGCCTGGGTGCTAGTGTTTCCAGTGCCCCACGACTTGGCTGTGACTCTCTCCCAGCTACATCCTGCACTGATTGTATGTGGTCTGATAAAAAGGCTGACTTTTGCTCTTACTAATAGTGACTGGTGTCACAGGTTTATTGATAGTCTAATTCCAGGAAAGAAGGAAATGCTTGAGCAGCACAAACGTGTTGGTCACGGGTCAGTTTATTTTATAATTATCATGTGCAAATATTCACCTTTGTATTTTTTCCCTTGAGTAACACTTGACGTAACATGAAGTAAACTGGGGGTTAACAGTATCCTTTTATCCAAAACAAAACCCAGAAGTAGAAGTTCTCTTTGATCTTTAAGAAGATTTGTGTTTTATTCTTAATAAAAGGGACTCTAAACAGGAGACCCCCTGCAGCTCACGGTTCCTCTGTGGATTCAGAAGTACACAAGGAAGGGGTTGCGGTCACAGTTGTGTTTTGTTATCTAAGAAGCAGACACGTTAGGAGGGCACGTCGGGATGAGTGAGGCGTGGTGCCGTCAGTGGGAAGGATGAGCCTGGGCTGTGCAGTCACTGTCGTTGAGGAGCGCTCCTTGGGGGTGAGCGTGTGTGCACCCAGCCCTGCAGTTTCCCACCAGCCCTACGACAGCTCATGAGCGCAGGGGGGCGGGGGCTCACCCGTGCTCCTGAGTTCAGGAAGCTCTTTCTGGGTGACAGTGGCCTGCCTGCCTGTTACCCAGCTTCCAAGAAACCCCCTCTGGTGGGACGGATGAGATGTTCCAGCAGAGAGTGACGAGCCTGCCCTGGGAGCAGGCTCCAGCCTGTGAGGCTCCTAACGAGCGCTGGAAATAGAGCGGAGGTCTGACACTGGCTCGGAGCCGTCCTGTATCAGACGAGCCCCACGGGATGCTGCCTGCTGGCAGCCTCTCGAGTGTGCTGCTAGTTGGTGTTGGAACATGCGGGGACTGTATGACCTCCCCAGCCTGTGTATTTCAGCCCCCAGCAGCCTCCTCAGAGTAATGTTCACTCCCAGGAATTGCTCTTAACTGTTTAAGAAACATACTCAGTGGTTTTACGAAATGGCAGTGACAGAAAAATGTGCCTCTTCCTTCCTGACCCTGCTCGAACTGACCGAAAAGGCCAGGACTTCAGCAGCTCTCCCAGTGGTGATTCTGATCTGGCCTTCGGTTCTTCAGCCTTGTGCTTTCCAGGGAGAAGTGTGTCAAGGGTCAGACACTCCGTCAGTCTCAGGGGGGTGGCATGCTGTGATCTGCTGTAACTTAGACTCTCTTTAGCTCAGAATGAATCGTAAGAAATTGTTTTCTGTCTTTTCCTTCCAGGTGAAGAACGGCCCCACCTATAACTGTACCGAATGTAGCTGTGTATTCAAAAGCTTAGGCAGCCTGAACACTCACATCAGCAAGATGCACCTGGGCGGACCCCAGAACTCGGTGAGCACAGAGCCCACGCCCGTGTTCACGGTAAGTCAACACTCGCTGCAGGAGGCCCCACTGCTCAATCTGCCGCCTTGAGGTCCACGACCACAAAGGTGCTGTGAGAGTGTTCTGTGTGAAGGTGACGTGCTGCTTCTGTGAGTTTGTTTAAATTTGTGAAAGAGAATCAGTGTTCTAGATTTTGGAACAGTGTTGGGAGCTGCTGACTTAGGGCTTGCCTCTGAAGGAGGGGAGCCAAGGCCCAGTTGTTCCTTGTGAGACGGTATTCACGCGGTCAGCTTCGCTGATGGTGTTTTTATTCTTAAATTGTGTTTGAGAACTAAATATCATTTTTAGATGGTATTAATCCTCATCTAATGTGACAGTGATCATTTTTCTTTGGGTTTTTAGGAGGCTGAATGGTGTGTGTATTTTAAATTGTACGACTGTAAACAAATACAGGTATTTGTTCCTTTGATGTAGTTCCGCCTCCAGCCTTGGTTTCTTCTCAGTTGATAGTAAGTGGGAGAGTCTAAGGATGGAGTCGTGCGTCCCGACAGCTACAGATAGGACACAAACATCCCAGGAGTTTGGAGGCTGCTCATGAGCACAGTTAGTTGGGAGTTGGGGTCAAGGCAACAGGTGCCTCCTGCTGATGTGGGAAACAGGCCTAGTGACTTCTGGACATTAGGTTCACTTGTAGTTTTCTTTTCTCAGAGTATTTGTAGCTTGGGGTGCTTCCTGTGTTCCCTCTTGAGCAAGGAGAATGCTGTCAGTAAATCCAGAACTCGGCAATAATTGGAGTGTGTTAATTAAGGCTGGGAGGTTCTGCTTTGGACTGAGTGTTACTTCTTTGAAAGCCATTTTCCATTTGTAAATTGTAACCAGATCCTAGAGTTTTCACCATTTCTCTTCGCAACTTGGAAATAGATGTGTAGAAGAGGTGAGCAGTGGTCCAGGTGGGTGTTCGTGTTCTCTTGCAGGTCACGAGCTCGCGCCCTCTTCCCCACCAGGGTGTCCTGGCCAGGGATTCCATGCTTGGCCTCACACCTTTTGCTCAACTTTGAGAGGTTTCGCCAGCCTCGTTTTCTGGCTCTAATACTGATCTTTTTGGTTGAGGATGTTCATTTCTGAGAGTTTGCCTTTCTGATGTTTTTTCCACGCCCTGAGACATTCTTTTCTGGTTTGATGCCCTTTCTTCTGTAGTCTCTGAGGGCGCTGCTTTGAATCTTCTTTCTGGTAATTCTCTTATGCTCATAGGCTTAGCCCGATCTCCCTGTTTTTCAGTGTCTGTAGCCTTTGCTTGGCTGGCTGTATTTCTGAGGCCACAGTAAACCTGTGTGGAAGCCTTGGGGGTGCAGGTGGGCTTATTGACCAGCAGGGGTCACTGTAAATGTGGGTGGCAGAGACCCCCAGGGCCTTGGGACCCCTGAGGGGCAGAACACAGAGGTATTTCATCTGGTCCCTGGCTCTCCCAGGCTATTTCATCTTTTTTAAGAGGGAACTCTTTGTTTTCTGTCTGTAATACAGTGTCTCACAGCTGCCTGTTCTGTGTGGAAGAAAACAGTCCATTTCAGCCTGGTATTTTCTCACTGGCTTTTGGCTTTTCTGACCCTTGGGCTGCTGTAAGAAGCGATACGCCAAGTCGGGTCTCAGTGTCCATTGGTGTTCTCTGCTGCTGCTCCATGGCGCGTTTATTCCTCCTGTCTCCTTGCTTTCCATAATTCCTTGAGTTTGACCACAGTGGCCTCTTTCTCATTTCCTTAGTCCTGACCTTTCAGCTCTTCTGTTCCATCACTTCACACTAATGGGCCAACAGGAAGGTCAGACCCATGTGCTAAACCTGCCTTCTTGAGTTGATAGGCTCTAAACCAAACAACCAAACTCACTGCCATCAAGTTACTTCTGACTCATAGTGACCCCCATTGCGTTTCCAAGGCTGTAATTCTTTGCACAAGTAGACTGTCCCATCTTCATTCTGAGGAGCACATGGTAAACTGCTGACGTTTTGGTTAGCAGCCAGATGCCTTGCCAACTTCACCACCAGAGCTCCTTTGATAGACTCTATTACCTATTCAAAAAGACTTCAAACAACTACCACAGCCTCCACAACCCTGAGACCAGAAGAGCTAGATGGTGCCCGGCTGCCACTGCTGGCCACTCTGGAAGGAATCACAGTGGGAAGTCCTGGATAGAGTGGGAGACAAATGTGGAACAAAACTCAAAAGCATAAAATGACCAGCCTTACTGGTCTGATAGAG